AAGGTTATATACCGTATGATTCCATTTATGCAACATTCTTGAAATGACAAAATTATAGAACTAGAGAAGAGAGTGCTAGTTGACAGACGTTAAGGCGAGGACGGGGGCAGGAAGGAGTGTGTGCAGCTATAAAAGGGCAACAAGAGGAATCCTTGTGGCGATGAAAATGTTCTGCATCTTGACTGTTTCAATGTGAACATCTTGGTGATAATATCGTACTCTAGTCTTTCAAGACGCTCCCTTTGAGGAAAACTGGGTAAAGAGTACATAGAGTATGTGTTACTTATTACAGCACATGAATTTATAAGTGTTTCAAAATCAAAAGTTTTTTTTAAAGTAATCAGATTCCAATAAACATCCATATTTGTGACTTGAAGAACCAGAAGACCTGGCCCCCCTCGGAGGCCCATGTTTCTGAGGGTGTAACTGCCCCATGTGCAAGAAAACATTTTTTTATAGTTTGGAGTTTTTTTTTTTGTAGTTCTCTTATGTTTCAAGGTCCCAGGCCAGTAAAATTTGCTGACAAGAACTTTGTAACTTTCTGTTGCACTAATGCAATCCCTTTTGAATTTCTTTTCCAGAAGTGGGGGAGCCTCCTTACAACCAGGAGATAACTACAAAGACTTACGCCACCTGTTTGTCTGGAGAACACAAAATAAGGGCCACCCCAGCACGGATTGTGCCCAAGGACCCTCTGAGCAGCCTACTCCCTGCATCCTGCCTACCCACAAGGCTGAAAGCATGAACCGTATTAACCCCTAGCTCATTAGACTACTAAAATCCCCTTGTGAGGGGATTTATGCACCATTTTTTGATCACGGGATGTATGTACTATCATGATTTCTCAGTACGCTCGCGTGCCCTGCACTCCCACGGCTGCAGCCTCCCCACCATCCTCACAGCCGGCCTGTGCGCCCTTTCCGTGCCTGAACGCCTACTCACCACGTGATCTCCCAACAACGAGCACTCATCTGACGGGTCACGCTATGTGTACCCCCCACCCGAGCGAACTACGAAGCTCACAAAGAGCAAGCTGCGGACCAGAACGTGCAATGGGACACGCACACTCGCACTACCGCCTTCCTGCCCCGACCCCTTCACCTCTGGCCCACGCTGAGCCACTTCCGGGCCGCTCTGGACGGCGCGGAGGCCTAGCTCTCGGTGGCCCCTGAGGGAGCCCCCACCCCCGACCCCCTGCCCTGTCCTGCACGGCGGAGGCGGCGGAAGTCGTGGGGGCGGGTCCTAGCTGGCTGTGTGGCGACCGTCCAGCGGCTCACCGTCGTCGACCCGCCCCGGCGTCCCCTTGGCGCAGCCCCAGAGAGACCAGCACCGGCGCTCCACCCGTGGGGAATTGAGGGCGGGCGGGCAGGTCAGGGCTCTGAGGTGGCGCAGGCGCAGTTGCGTCCAGCGGCGCGGCCCCTGTCCAGCTGATCTTCCCACTGCGCCTGCGCAGCTGCGGCTCGGTCTCTGGGGCACGTCTCCTGGTTCCTATGGGAACGACGCCACCGCCCTCTACTGTGGCGTCATGTGTTGCCGTGGATACGCCCCGCCCCTTCCTCCTCCGGGCTCGGGCCCTGCCTCTACCACCCAGGGAGCAGGGAAGGGCCCACGCACGCACAAAGACTGCCGGGTCGCCGGGCGCAGGCTGTGAG